GCTCCAAAGGGACACTTGGCTGTAACTCAGCTTCCTGGTCCGTCCCGTCATCCCAAAAGCTCGCCGCATTCAATTGAATCATGTTTGCACTCACAATGAAAAGGAAAACGACAAGCAAACCAACATGCAAGGTCCCACTAGCAGGTCAACACACAAACTCGCTGATACAACGACACACCGACACAACAACACACCGAGAGACCGAGACCACCACCACCACCACCACCGCCACCAATAACAACCAAAACTGCCCACCCACCCACCCACCCACCCACCCACCCACCCACCCACCCACCCACCCACCCACCCACCCACCCACCACCCACCAACCAACCAACCAACCAACCAACCAACCAACCAACAACAACCAACAACAACAACAACAACAACAACAACAAGCAACAACAACAACAACAACAACAACAACAACAACAACAACAACAACAACAACAACAACAACAACAACAACAACAACAACAACAACAACAACAACAACAACAACAACAACAACAACAACAACAACAACAACAACAACAACAACAACAACAACAACAACAACAACAACAACAACAACAACAACAACAACAACAACAACAACAACAACAACAACAACAACAACAACAACAACAACAACAACAACAACAACAACAACAACAACAACAACAACAACAACAACAACAACAACAACAACAACAACAACAACAACAACAACAACAACAACAACAACAACAACAACAACAACAACAACAACAACAACAACAACAACAACAACAACAACAACAACAACAACAACAACAACAACAACAACAACAACAACAACAACAACAACAACAACAACAACAACAACAACAACAACAACAACAACAACAACAACAACAACAACAACAACAACAACAACAACAACAACAACAACAACAACAACAACAACAACAACAACAACAACAACAACAACAACAACAACAACAACAACAACAACAACAACAACAACAACAACAACAACAACAACAACAACAACAACAACAACAACAACAACAACAACAACAACAACAACAACAACAACAACAACAACAACAACAACAACAACAACAACCACGACAGCGACAGCGACAGCGACAGCGACAGCAACAACAGAGTAACGAATGATGATGATTCGGGTCAGTTTCCAGTCCTACACAATGCTGTCTCCCCCGTGCAACCCACAGCTTGGCACTGAACTCTACCATGCTCTGACCCCTTTCCATATTCATCTTATCCCATTTGGCCATGGGGCATAAACTATGGCTCCATTTTGGGGTGGATGAACATCCATTTGCACAGCCATTTAAGCTATATATTGTTAAAGAAGACCCCAGACACGGGGCAAACCCGTCTCTTCCCATCACAAACCACTTCTCCCCCCCCCAGACGGACGTTCGAAGGCCTGGCAGGCCGCCGTGGCCACCGAGCTGCTTCTGATCTCCGGTTCTGGGCCGGTCCGAGGTGCGACGAGGTGCGACGAGGCGACCCTCGCAGTGGGGGGCTGGATGTTTTTTCTGGCTGTGGGTGTCAAAACCAAGGGACTCCAAACCATTTTTGGGGGTAGGTGAATGCACCACCCATTTTAGAACCGCTTTTGGGGGGATTGGGAGGTTCACTGGGGGTACGATTTGGAGTTGGACCCATGGCCATATCCAGGTATCCAGTTCAGATAAACACTTGAATCAACAATTCCGCCCTGCGATGCAAGAGACAAAGCCTGGTAGCCCGATTACATGGCTGAAAGTATATAAAGACACGACAATCCAGGCAAAAAGCAATCTCCACCATGCTTTCCATCAACCTTCATTCAAGTTCATATCCAAGGGGGGTCATAGCCATGCACAAGGAAAAGTCAATCCTTGGTTGAGTCCTGTTAAGACAGATCTAGGCAAGTGTCCATAGGTGATTCTCTGATTCCCTGTTGGATGTTCAAGGAAATTGGCCCATTCCTCGTTCAAACCCAGCTGGAAAATAAAAGACCTGGCCCAAAGGTGAAAGGCCCGAAGGTCGGCATATATGAAATGCCAGAGTGAGGTCAAATTGGGCTCGGTAAAAAGGTACATTCTCTCCTATCGAATTCCGGAAGGAAGCCAGCACGCAAAGAGAAAAGTCATGCATTTGCAGGACCGCCTATGGTGAACGCGACTAGTGGCTTTCCAAGGCCGGGACGGTCCACATGGACTTATTCTGCAAATGATTGACAGTTAGGCGTAACTCTAAACAGCTTCGGGGTGTAAACTCGGGCGCTTCTCAACAGCACAAGCCCTTCTTGGTATATTCAATCAAATCAAATGGGTAGCTTGTTTAAACACGCGTACACGACTAAAGTACAAACCGGGTACCAATACCTTAACTTCAACTAACTGAGAAACACCGAACAACCTGAAGTCCCCCCTTATTTGTGGTGCGCGGAGTGCGCGGAAAAGGGATGCCACCGCCGGGTTCGACTGATCCGTCGAGGGGCTGGAGCAAGTCCAGAGCGCTATGAAGGCCTTGCGCGCGGAAGTCCGCCTGGCGCTTGGGATCGGCGTTTTTTGCCGAAGATCTGCTTCCCTAAGAATTTTTGCTTCGGGGGCCGAAGATCATTTCGCCGGTGGAAGAGAAGTTGGCTCTTTGCTTGGGGGGCCGCAGATCATCCCGCCGGTGGAAGAGAAGTTGGCTTGGTGGTTTGGTGGTTTGGTGGCTTGGTCACCTGAACCAGGGGTTCAAACCCCCAAATCACCACGACAAACCACCAATTAAAGGTTGCCTGAGATGGTGACCCCCAAACAGCTGGGGAAAGCGGGAAGATCATACTTGGGGCGATGAGTTTGGTAAAAATTGCCACAGCAAAATAGGGATTTGGAGCCCGAACATAGTTTGTTTCTTTTTGGCTTCCATTTAAATCATCCAAAATGCACTCAAAACAAAACACCCCCACCACTCGGACCTTCCCTACAAGATGTTTGGCGTTTCTCTTCAAACTCCCAATGAAGAGTCTCTTCCATCTGAGATAACCCTTGTTAAAATAGTTGGGGGTCCTTTTCGGAAAGGAACCCAAGTCTCCTGCGAGCAGTTCCTTCTGTTGGCCCTTTGAAACATTAGGGTCTCACCAATTCTCTGGGTACATGGTCACAATTCACCATCCCCCCCCCCCCCGACCCACACATAATTTGCTCAGTGTTGTTCAGGAAACAACCTTTGAAAGCTTGCCCCATCCTAACAAACCTGTAGCACAACAGTACCTCCCAAAGCCCCTAGAAGACGTTGGGCAACCAAGGAAGCCCCAAACAGTTTATCCTCAGAGCAGCCCTGACCGCTTTGGGCAAAAAGTCTCACCCCAACCTCGTGGGGTCCTTCTGCAGCAGCGTCTTCAGCAGCTGCATGATGCCTGCCGTCGCCGTGGGGTCCTTCGGTTCCTTCGGTTTTTTCAATTCCTGAAAACATCCTGAGATCCTCTTTGGATTTGGTTGAAAAGTGCCAGGGGGGCGTGAAAAAAGCCTCTTGTGGCTCCGTCGCAACCTGGATGTTTCCTTGGCTGTAGGATTCCGGTTGCTAACCCAAAGAGCTAGGTCCAGCGGAGAGGTTAGAATAAGTTGGTGTGAACTTTGTTCTGTCTATTTTAGTAGGGTTGAACCCTCCCAACCAAAAAAGAAATGGGTGAGAAAGGGCACGATCCTGGGGGACCTACTGTGGATGGACGAAATCCATTTCGCACCACCCAAGAAACCATGGTTGAAACCATAGTTTGTTGGTCATTTCCATTGGAATCATCAGAAACCAGGGTCTCTGAACGGTGCGAAATGAATTTCGCCACCATCCACAGGCTGTTTCCCTCCCGGATCGAGTCCATGGCTCCAAACTCGCTGAGTGCGGGGCTGCCGGAGAAGTCCCCGAAGAGCCCCGCGTCGAAGCGCACCTTGCAACCTCAGAGCCGCTGCTCGCAGCGAGCGCGGCGAGCGCAGCGAGTCCGGGCCCCCGAAACCCCGAAACCGGCGGGTTTGAGGAGTGGGGCGGGTGGGGTAGGGGTAGGGGTTGGGTGGTGGGGTGCTGGTAGGGGTGGTGGTGTGGGTGGGCCCCGAAAAATAAGCTTTGTTTGAGGAAAGCAAAACACAAGGAGCCCGACCAATCTACCAATGGTCATTGTTTCGCCCGCAGTTCTGGATGGCTTCTGAAAGGGCAGCTGGAAGATCAAGTGTTGGGTTGAAAATCTCATTGTTTCTTGATGGCCCCTTTTTGGCTTATCGCCTTAAAAAAAAAAAAAAAAAAAAAAAAAAAAAAAAAAAAAAAAAAAAAAAAAAAAAAAAAAAAAAAAAAAAAACGGGATTTTATAGAACGTGAAGTTCCCCAGGTTTCAGCTTGCCGGTTGAGGGGATAAATCAAATTTCCTCCCTGGAGGGGACCCTCTCTCTCTCAGGTGCTACGACTTTTTGCGCAAGACATGGAGCAGTCAGTTTACTCCACAAATCAATTGGGCGCTGGAGGTCGAGACACGGTTCCAATGGCAAAGAAAAGGACGGCCAGGCGGCAAAGAACAAGCAACAACTCTGGTGTTGGGAAGTTCGGCAACAGGCTGCCACTGCCTCACTCACGCCTTGGGGACGTATCTTGGAAGCCTCCCACAGGAGCATCCGCTGAGAAGCCAAAACAAAGAGCCGACCCCTTGAGACGCCTCTGCATTGGCTTGCGTGCCGCGACCCCGCGAGAGTGGTCACTTTTCTTGGGCTTTCCCAAAACCAACCCCGAAAGGGTACCATCAATGCACCCACTTCGTTGGGCTCCTCCTCACATCCAGTTGAAATGTATAACCCATGAGGCGAAGCGTGGCTTAGCATTCATTTGGCGATGAAGATGGAGTGGGCATACCCATCAGTTTCTGGTGTCCAACCCTCCCCAAGAAAGAAAAATGCGGCTTTGTGTCTGGTCCTGTAAAACCTCAACCAACCAAAGACAGACCCAGCTTGAGACCTATGCTGTGCCCCCCTTTTTGGCCGCCCCCGCGGAGCATTTCGCGCAAGCCTCCCACATCCGGCCTGGTCGCCTCGAAGATGATACAAGTGAAACCATGGTCTACCTGGAGTCTCCTTCTGACCTCCATGACCCCTTTTATTTTGGCTAAAGGCAACCCATTTTTAAGGGGTCGGAAGGAGACTCCAGGTATGGATGCTGTGGTTTCACCCTTGACTTCCAAGGGAAACCGCATGAACACAAAAGCGAATGCGGCACTCCTGCCCTGAAAGTCAAACATCGGCAACCAGTCTGGAACCCGTTCTTTCAACATGGAATCTCGAGGTTTGTTTTCAAGCAAAAATAAAAAATGCTTGGCGAATGGAAAACCGGAAAGCCCCAACAAGCCCATGGGGCTCCGGGCGCGCAGTGGCCTCTAGCACCTGAGGTGCAGCTCCCATTTCACCGCCCAATATGACGTGATGGCTCCTCTTTCTGTTTGATCCTAAATGGGAAATTGACTCCAAAACAGACACTCCCATCTGAACTGTGCGAAATTAGGGATTCTTTGGTGTCACTTTGAAACCAGAAAAAGACTTAGCCTGGTTTGAGACAGGGTGGTACTCATTGCTAAAAATGACACTGTTTTATGGCGTGTCTCCACATAGGGTCACCTCCCAGAAGAGTCGTTTCCCTTGTGTCTCATTTTCCGCAACCACAAGTTGTGTTTAACATGGAGTTGGTGGTGCTCTCTCAGTCTATATACCGCTGTGTCAGATCATAATCTTAGTCACTGCTATCTTCATTGGGGAGGATGATGATCTTTGTTCTTGTACATGGAGGTGAGTGGTGAGCACAACGACGGTCCAGCATCCAGCGAGGGTTGTTGCGTCCTTTGCTTTGAAGGGGTTGGGCTTGAAGGTTGCGCGGTGGTGTACGAAAAGAACCGGTCGGCCTTCCAACATCCAGCGCTGGTTGTTGCGTGGGCGTGATTCAAAGGGCTGGATCCCAACCCTCAATCAAGAGCCATCAAAGTCTGCACATCAAGAGCCCGTCAAATATCAAGCCTTAAGTCAATCAAACAAACCTTAAGTCTATGAAGCATTGAACCATGGACATCGAAGCCAAGGGGACGTCAAGACTGTCACTGATGCCATAAAATTAGAATGTCCAAGAGCCGGTAAGGCCTTGTAACACAAACCGCACAATGATTCAATGATGAAAGGTTCCTGGTTGCAATTTTCCTTCAAAATGACCTGCTGAATCTAGCATACGGACCAAAAGGTGCTTGTGTGCGTGAGTGTTTGTATTTGTGTGCGTGTGCCTGTGTGTGTGTGTGTGTGCGGTGTGTGAGTGGGTGGGTGGGTGGGTGGGTGGGTGGGTGGGTGGGTGGGTGTGTGTGTGTGTGGGTGTGCGGGTGTGTGGGTGTGTGGGTGTGGCTGTGCGGGTGTGCTGGTGTGCGTGTGTACGGGTTTGCGTGCGCGTGTGTTTGCGTGTGTGAGTGTGCGCGTGTGCGTGCGTGGGCGTGCGCGTGTGCGCGTGTGCGCGTGTGCGCGTGTGCGCGTGTGCGCGTGTGCGCGTGTGCGCGTGTGCGCGTGTGCGCGTTGCGCGTGCGCGTGCGCGTGCGCGTGGGCGTGCGCGTGCGCGTGCGTGCGTGCGCGTGCGCGTGCGCGTGCGCGTGCGCGTGCGCGTGCGCGTGCGCGTGCGGGTGCGCGTGCGCGTGCGCGTGCGTGCGTGCGTGCGTGCGTGCGCGCGTGCGGTGTAGCGCGTGTGCGCGGCGCGTGCGCGTGCGGGCGTGCGGGGTGGGGTGTGGTGTGGGTGTGGGTGTGGGTGTGGGTGTGGGTGTGGGTGTGGGTGTGGGTGTGGGTGTGGGTGTGGGTGTGGGTGTGGGTGTGTGTGTGTGTGTGTGTTGCGTGCGTGCGTGCGTGCGTGCGTGCGTGCGTGCCTGCGTGCGTGCGTGCGTGCGTGTGTGTGTGTGTGTGTGGGTGTGTGCGTGCGTGTGTGTGTGTGTGTTGTGTGTGTGTGCTGTGCGTGTGTGTGGTGTGTGGCGTGTGTGGTGTTTGTGTGTGTGTGTTGTGTGTTGTGTGTTGTGTTGTGTGTTGTGTGTTGTGTGTTGTGCGTTGTGTGCTGTATCCGGCGTGTTGTGTGTTGTGTGTTGTGTGCTGTGTGCTGTGTGTTGTGTGCTGTGTGCTGTGTTTTGTGTTTTGTGTGTTGTGTGTTGTGTGTTGTGTGTTTTGTGTTGTGTGTTGTGTGTTTTGTGTGTTGTGTGTGTGCAGTGTGTGAGTGGGTGGGTGTGTGGGTGGGAGGGCGTGTGGGCGTGTGTGTGTGTGTGGGTATGTCGGTATGTGGGTATGTGGATGTGGGTGTTGGGTGTGTGTGTGTGGGTGTGTGTGTGTGTGGGTGTGTGTGTGTGGGTGTGTGTGGGTGTGGGTGTGTGTGTGTGCATGCATGCATGGGTGCGTGGGTGCGTGGATGCGTGGGTGCATGGGTGCGTGGGTGCGTGGGTACGTGGGTGCGTGGGTGCGTGGGTGCGTGGGTGCGTGGGTGCGTGGGTGCGTGGGTGGGTGCGTGGGTGGGTGCGTGGGTGCGTGCGTGGGTGCGTGGGTGCGTGGGTGCGTGGGTGCATGGGTGGGTGCGTGCGTGCGTGCGTGCGTGTGCGCGTGCGCGCGTGCGCGCGTGCGTGCGCGTGTGTGGGTGTGTGTGGGCGGGCGGGCGGGCGGGCGGGCGGGCAGGCGGGTGGGCGGGCGGGCGGGCGGGCGGGGCAAAGGGCGGGAGTGCGTGCGTGCGTGCGTGCGTGCGTGCGTGGGTGGGTGGGTGGGTGGGTGTGTGGGTGTGGGTGTGGGTGTGGGTGTGGGTGTGGGTGTGGGTGTGGGTGTGGGTGTGGGTGTGGGTGTGGGTGTGGGTGTGGGTGTGCGTGCGAGTGCGTGCATGTGTGTGTGTGTGTGTGCGTTTGTGTTTGCGTGTGCGTGTGCGTGCGTGGGTGTGTGTGTGTGTGTGTGTGGGTGTGGGTGTGTGTGTGTGTGGGTCTGTATGCGTGTCTGGGTGTGTGAGTTTGTGTGCTTGTGCGCTTGTGCGCTTGTGTGCTTGAGTGCTTGTGTGCTTGGGTGCCTGTGCGCTTGGGTGCTTGGGTGCCTGGGCGCTTCGGTGCTTGTGTGTGTTTGTGTGCTCGTGCGTTTGTGCACGTTTCCCGGCTTGCCCTTTCAAGGTCGGCGCAAAGGCATTCAAAAGGAACGCCATCATTCGACGGATCCCAAATATTTTGACCTCTTCCCATTTTGGCGAACTCCTTCCCTCAAGGCCTTCTTCAGCGTCTTGCCCGGAAAAGGCAAGGTATTGCTCAGCGCAAAGTACAGTACCGCCCCTGCGCCGAACAAGTCCACCTTCTCGTCCTCAGAGAAGGCCGATGTGACACCAACAAAGTTAAGCGGCTTTCTGGCAGGCTCCCTTAAACAGATCAGAGCAGTCTTCCGGTGTTTTCCCTCTTGAAATGTTCAACGATCCCAAAACAGACCACCCTCAGGAAAAGAAAGCCCCAATTCGTCCGGTGGGCGTCCCCGTTGTGTGGGGAAATCCCCTTTTGGGTGGATTTCTGGGGTTCCATAGATTGAGATGGACTGTGTCTCCTGACTTTCCACACGGGGCCTCTAACTTTGCACGCCCTAAATTCATCGCAGCGACCCATTGGCTCTGCACCGAACGGTCAGTTCTTCAACCAGCGGTCTCGGCGGCAGCACCAAAAGCTCCACTGCAAAGGGAGCCTGAAAACTCAGGGTGTCTTCATCCGGAGTGGCAGTGTGGTCTGTCGTGAGTGTCTTACACCAACCACTTAGACAGCCACGAATTCGAATGCTACGCAAACCAACATTGCGCACCACTCAACAAGTCAATCAGCCAACCTACCTCAGCCAACAACAAGCCAACCATGCAAGACAAGCTAAGCTGAAGGAGGAACGGCAATGCAGCAGTTAAGGCGCTCGCAAAAAAAAAGAGCAAACAAAAGCGATGCCAACAAGAAACAACCAAAAAAAAAACGCTCCTTTGGAGAAGCAGGTTTCCAATTTTGCCCAAAGCAAACAGCGTTGGAATCGCTGCATCTCCCCCTGTAAGGCAATTCCATCTTCGCATAGGAAATGGATCAACTGGAATTCCAAGAGAGTGCTGATGGTTTTCAAAGTCCCCTGTTTGGCGTCGCTCCAGGTGGTTTCCCCACCCATTTTTGGGGTTTACGAGGCAAGCCCAGTACCTTTTCATCGGATTCCGTCGCGGCCGGGCATCATAGGGCAGGTCAGTGACCACCTCCGGCGGCGCATAGCCCGGGGAGCCCACGCGCTTCTGCATGGCCTCACGAATCGCAGTGACCAAGACACAGCTTCCCGCTCCGTGGTCCCTGGTGGTTTGGATTGGTTTGGTGGCGAAGCAATGGGTTTCCCATGTACCCTCTGCGAAAGCCAGGGGTTTCAACTCGCAACTGAGAATAACTGGTCGAGTTGGAGCATTCCAGAATTTGTCGGTGTGGGCCAAGCTTAGACCACCAAAATTTGGACCGCAGGTTTTAGTCGATGATAGCTCAACACGAAATGCAAAACAAGAAAATGCAAAAGGCACCTGCGAAACAAACAAGAAACAAATTGACATTCGCGCTCTGCCCGTGCTAATCTATTAGGAGCTTCAAGAGCCGAGTTCTGTCGAACCTACCAAGAAAGGGAAGGGGTGGCCTGCTCAAAACTTTCTCTGCATTTGCGCTGCTGAGATTCTGAACAGGCCGCTACTGGAAAAATTGTCCTCCCCCCAGTTTTGGCATTGCGTATCCAATTCCCGAATGTATCTGTTTCTCCATCAACCCGTTGCTGGAAAGTATACCCTGTTGGGAATACATTTATCCATTTCAATAGAAAGGACTGGGCTGCATAGGAAACATTCACTCGCGGTCAACGGCCGCAGTCCTAGAGACGCCGCAGGGCCGGGGGCCTCATACTCCAGCAAACAACGGCAACGGACCCAAACGCCTCAGAGACTTGGATTCCGAGTAGCAGAAGGCAAGTCGAGCTGGTAGCCC